TCAACATTTGTGACTAACAGAGTTAACATACATTTTGTTAACAAGTCACTGAAATTATCCGCAGAAACAACAGGGTAAACTTTGTACATAAAACTGCTTTAATGCTGACAGACAGAAAGCATACGGTCATGGATATAATGTTTATCCTTCTCGTAGTCCATACTGTGTGACGTTGGTAGTCAGATCTATCCACAACCTTCTGTCTCATATACTTTCAATCAATTCTGACAAAGATGGTCTTCCATGCCATGATGTCAAACTGTCCTGCATCTTCTCTCGTAATCTCCATCGCCTCTTGTTCCCTCCAAATTCTCCAGTCTCCACTGACGAACTCCAGTGTTCTTTTTCTCAAACATGACCCAAGAATGTAGATTATTTAATGATTACATAACAAATAATGCTAACTGAAACAATAAATCATCATCATCATCTTTTCCCATAATTCAATGCATCACTGGGTCACCAGCTGCTCTGGGTGGCCAGATTAGTTTCCTCAACCTTTTGTCACTCTGGAACAATGGACTTGATGTTTGCATGTTTCAGGCCCATCCATTCGGACTAATTCTGTATCCAGGACTCTCTTGGCCTGCCACTTCTCCACCTCTTGTCACTCTGGAACAATAAACTTGATATTTGCATGTTTCAGGCGCATCGATTCGGACTAAAATTCTGTATCCAGATCTCTCTTGGCCTGCCACTTCTCCATCTCTTGTCACTCTGGAACAATAAACTTGATGTTTGCATGTTTCAGGCCTGTCCATTCAGACTAACTATGTATCCGGGTCTCTCTTGGCCTGCCACTTTTCCACAACAGAACCCTGTAGTCTAGTCCGGGGAAAGCCAGTAGATATTGTTATACAACCCTTCCGCTGCATTTTCAACCTTATCAATGTTATTAAACAAGCTCTACAGCTGCCAATGTGTTGTGAGATGATACTGCAAATTTCATCATTCGTACACAATAAATACTAAGTGACAGATATCAATACTACATAACAGATGCAATAAATACTCAGTGATAAATACTACATGACAAATACTACTGACTGATACAATGAATACAGAGTGTCAAACATAACGATTATAAAATAAAAACCACCACTGACTCGACTATTGTCTACATGTGTCTACATACTACTGGACTATTGTCTACATCCACACTACTGGACTATTGTCTTGCTTACTGGACTATTGTCTACATCCACACTACTGGACTATTGTCTACATCCACACTACTGGACTATTGTCTACATCCACACTACTGGACTATTGTCTACATCCACACTACTGGACTATTGTCTACATCCACATTACTGGACATTGTCTACATCCACACTAACTACTGGACCACATTGTCTACATCCACACTACTGGACTATTGTCTACATCCACACTACTGGACTATTGTCTACATCCACACTACTGGACTATTGTCTACATCCACACTACTGGACTATTGTCTAGTCTACTGGACTATTGTCTACATCCACACTACTGGACTATTGTCTACATCCACACACTACTGGACTATTGTCTACATCCACACTACTGGACTATTGTCTACATCCACACTACTGGACTATTGTCTACATCCACACTACTGGACTATTGTCTACATCCACACTACTGGACAATTGTCTACATATTGTCTACACTACTACACACACTACTGGACTATTGTCTACATCCACACTACTGGACTATTGTCTACATCCACACTACTGGACTATTGACTTCATCCACACTACTATTGTCTACATCCACACTACCAGATGTATTGTCTACATCCACACTACTGGACTATTGTCTACATCCACACTACTGGACTATTGTCTACATCCACACTACTGGACTATTGTCTACATCCACACTACTGGACTATTGTCTACATCCACACTACTGGACTATTGTCTACATCCACACTACTGGACTATTGTCTACATCCACACTACTGGACTATTGTCTACATCCACACTACTGGACTATTGTCTACATCCACACTACTGGACTATTGTCTACATCCACACTACTGGACTATTGTCTACATCCACACTACTGGACTATTGTCTACATCACACTATTGTCTACATCCACACTACTGGACTATTGTCTACATCCACACTACTGGACTATTGTCTACATCCACACTACTGGACTATTGTCTACATCCACACTACTGGACTATTGTCTACATCCACACTACTGGACTATTGTCTACATCCACACTACTGGACTATTGTCTACATCCACACTACTGGACATATGTCTACATCCACACTATATTGTCTACATCCACACTACTGGACTATTGTCTACATCCACACTACTGGACTATTGTCTACATCCACACTACTGGACTATTGTCTACATCCACACTACTGGACTATTGTCTACATCCACTACTGGACTATTGTCTACATCCACACTACTGGACTATTGTCTACATCCACACTACTGGGACTATTGTCTACATCCACACTACTGGACTATTGTCTACATCCACACTCTACATGTCTACACACTACTGGACTATTGTCTACATCCACACTACTGGACTATTGTCTACATCCACACTACTGGACTATTGTCTACATCCACACTACTGGACTATTGTCTACATCCACACTACTGGACTATTGTCTACATCCACACTACTGGACTATTGTCTACATCCACACTACTGGACTATTGTCTACATCCACACTACTGGACTATTGTGTCATCCACATCCACACTACTGGACTACTGGACTATTGTCTACATCCACACTACTGGACTATTGTCTACATCCACACTACTGGACTATTGTCTACATCCACACTACTGGACTATTGTCTACATCCACACTACTGGACTATTGTCTACATCCACACTACTGGACTATTGTCTACATCCACACTACTGGACGATTGTCTACATCCACACTACTGGACTATTGTCTACATCCACACTACTGGACTATTGTCTACATCCACACTACCAGATGTATTGTCTACATCCACACTACTGGACTACATCCACTACTGGACTACATGGACTACTGGACTATTGTCTACATCCACACTACTGGACTATTGTCTACACATCCACACATCCACTACTGGACTATTGTGTCTACATGGACACACTACTACTGACTATTGTCTACATCCACACTACTGGACTATTGTCTACATCCACACTACTGGACTATTGTCTACATCCACACTACTGACTATTGTCTACATCCACTGGACTATTGTCTACATCCACACTACTGGACTATTGTCTACATCCACACTACTGGACTATTGTCTACATCCACACTACTGGACTATTGTCTACATCCACACTACTGGACTATTGTCTACATCCACACTACTGGACTATTGTCTACATCCACACTACTGGACTATTGTCTACATCCACACTACTGGACTATTGTCTACATCCACACTACTGGACTATTGTCTACATCCACACTACTGGACTATTGTCTACATCCACACTACTGGACTATTGTCTACATCCACACTACTGGACTATTGTCTACATCCACACTACTGGACTATTGTCTACATCCACACTACTGGACTATTGTCTACATCCACACTACTGGACTATTGTCTACATCCACACTACTGGACTATTGTCTACATCCACACTACTGGACTATTGTCTACATCCACACTACTGGACTATTGTCTACATCCACACTACTGGACTATTGTCTACATCCACACTACTGGACTATTGTCTACATCCACACTACTGGACTATTGTCTACACACTATGGACTATTGTCTACATACTGGACTATTGTCTACATCCACACTACTGGACTATTGTCTACATCCCACACTACATCCACACTACTGGACTATTGTCTACATCCACACTACTGGACTATTATTGTCTACATCCACACTACTGGACTATTGTCTACATCCACACTACTATGTCTACACTATTGTCTACATCCACACTACTGGACTATTGTCTACATCCACACTACTGGACTATTGTCTACATCCACACTACTGGACTATTGTCTACATCCACACTACTGGACTATTGTCTACATCCACACTACTGGACTATTGTCTACACACACTACTGGACTATTGTCTACATCCACACTACTGGACTATTGTCTACATCCACACTTTATTGTCTACATCCACACTACTGGACTATTGTCTACATCCACACTACTGGACTATATTGTCTACATCCACACTACTGGACTATTGTCTACATCCACACTACTGGACTATTGTCTACATCCACACTACTGGACTATTGTCTACATCCACACTACTGGACTATTGTCTACATCCACACTACTGGACTATTGTCTACATCCACACTACTGTATCAAATCTAATGACAAATAAGCGCAGATACAATGTTTGGAAAAACCCCATGTCATATCAGGCGATTCAGTCTGCAATATGTATCAAACTCAATGCTTCATTCCGTATAAATCTTGTTATGGCCACAAATCAACTAATGGGAAATTAACACAGTGGTTTTCTCTTTAACTTTACATTAATTAACAGTTTATTAGTAAAAGTAAAATTTGGAAAAATGATTTGAAAATCATCACTAAACTGTAAGCCAGCAAAAGGAGCTTGTGATTCAGCTCAGACATCCATGGTGAGATGTCTGTTGAAAGGATGATTTTTTTGCTTCAGTAAATGATGATGTAAATTCTGTAGTATCCACCCAAGACACAATGAAAGGGGCCAGGCAATGAATTGTACAATGTATCGTTTGTGTCTAAATTATTTAAACTGCATTTTCCTTTGTTGTTTTAGACAGGCTTCCTCTCACAAAGTCACCTGAATTGTGTGTTTGTATTTTTTAAAATATAGGTAACAAAGTTAAATACTGGTTGCTTTTCAAACAAATATTTTCCCTCAGAAGCAAATTTAAGTGGCTATTGGTATTTCTTGTTAGAAGCATGTGTCACTCTAAGGAATTTATGATATACATAGAGTTAAAGAAATATGTTGCACCTATAAGTAGAAATTGATCTCCATACTTGCTAGGTGTTTGAATATCTGCTTGAGTTTAGGGAAGCTTGCCTCGTCATAGTTAGCAATAATTTCATCAACATCTTCGCAGCATTTCTTCTCCAGCTCGCGCAGCTGCGCCAGCACCATATGCCCTTTCTCTTCCTGACTCTCCATCAGGCTGCACAAGCGCTGGTGGCTCCTGTAAAGAGCATGTCCTCGCTTGCCTGGTTCTGCTCCTGCTTCTTCTGGCGGGGACAAAGTGACATCACCGACTTCAGCGCCGGGGCCGAAGAAGAATGGCTTGTAAATAGAAGTGGCAGGGTTGGGTGTCCCTGTGAACCAGTGGACACACGGAGAGCAAGAAGAAGCTGGTAGGAGAACTGAGACTTGACTGCCTGCGGTGATGAAACCACCGTCCATCATACAAATTCCACCATCCTCGTCACGAAGAATACTGAAGAAGTCTTGGTAGCTCAGTGCACCTGCACAGAAATTAGACATGTAATCTAAATAAAAGTGCACTATTTTATTTGTATGAGCATAAAAGTTGTAAATCTAAAACATCATCATCATTGTCCTGCTGTGCCATTATATGTCACATAGAGCTCATAATCTATTTATTCATTCTATTCTATCCTGTGCATTCGCTTCTATATCATGGGTGGCTAGAATCTAGCTCATCCCCTTTGGTTTCTTTCATCAGATAGAATCTAATTCATCCCCTTTGGCTTCTTTCATCAGATAGAATCTAATTCATTTCCTTTGGTTTCTTTCATCAGATAGAATCTAGTTCATTTCCTTTGGTTTCTTTCATCAGATAGAATCTAGTTCATTTCCTTTGGCTTCTTTCATCAGATAGAATCTAGTTCATTTCCTTTGGCTTCTTTCATCAGATAGAATCTAGTTCATTTCCTATGGCTTCTTTCATCAGATAGAATCTAGTTCATTTCCTATGGCTTCTTTCATCAGATAGAATCTAGTTCATTTCCTATGGCTTCTTTCATCAGATAGAATCTAGTTCATTTCCTTTGGCTTCTTTCATCAGATAGAATCTAATTCATTTCCTTTGGCTCCTTTCATCAGATAGAATCTAGTTCATTTCCTTTGGCTTCTTTCATCAGATAGAATCTAATTCATCCCCTTTGGCTTCTTTTATCAGATAGAATCTAATTCATCCCCTTTGGCTTCTTTCATCAGATAGAATCTAGTTCATTTCCTATGGCTTCTTTCATCAGATAGAATCTAGTTCATTTCCTTCGGCTTCTTTCATCAGATAGAATCTAGTTCATTTCCTTTGGCTTCTTTCATCAGATAGAATCTAATTCATTTCCTTTAGCTTCTTTCATCAGATAGAATCTAGTTCATTTCCTTTGGCTTCTTTCATCAAATAGAATCTAATTCATCCCCTTTGGCTTCTTTCATCAGATAGAATCTAATTCATCCCCTTTGGCTTCTTTCATCAGATAGAATCTAGTTCATTTCCTATGGCTTCTTTCATCAGATAGAATCTAATTCATCCCCTTTGGCTTCTTTCATCAGATAGAATCTTATTCATCCCCTTTGGCTTTTTTTCATCAGATAGAATCTAATTCATCCCCTTCTGCTTCTTTCATCAGATAGAATCTAGTTCATCTCCTTTGGCTTCTTTCATCAGAATCTAATTCATCCCCTTGCTTCTTTCATCAGATATAATCTAGTTCATCCCCTTTGGCTTTTTTCATCAGATAGAATCTAATTCATCCCCTTTGGCTTCTTTCATCAATATTCATTTCAGGGTTTCTTTCTGATGTCCTTGCTTCCTCTGTATCTTTATTTCCCATTTGGTGCCTATCTGGTGATTCTCTGCTCAAGTTTTTCTCAAGATGTGTCCAATATAGGGCCATCTTCTTTGTCTTATACCAGTGGTTGCTCAAACATTTCTCTTATTTCGTCACTCCTCCTGAATTCAAAATATTTACAAAAGCTATAATCAAAATAAGCAAAAATTGCCAAATCTTGTATGCACATTCCAAAAGAGAAAAGACAAGAAACCAACATGTTCAAATGAATCTGTGGTACAGACAAAAATACAAACACAGTTGATACCTGAAGCAGCAGCCTTCTCCAAAAGCTCATGTCCCCGTCTGTACCGAACACTTGTGTTGTTAACTGATGATATCTCCGACTCAGAACGTGCACACAACATGGCCTTGAAATCAAATGGCCCTTTATCTTCAGAATATAGCCCCAAAGCTTTGGCCTGGTCTATGAGACCAGGTGAAGTGAGGTCCATCTTTGTTCTAATGCTTAATTCATTTGAGACATTTCTGAAACCATCTAGATTGTGGAAGAAATAAAATACATTTATCTAAATGATATCATTCCCCTTTTCCATTAAAAAATCAAATAGTAGTGCACACAAAGTTACAAGAATCACCTATCTTCTTTTTCTTCCTCTTCATCATGTGTATAATCAGTTTGAGTCCCAGATATGTATGGACAATCCCATGTTATTCAAACAGAAGGACACAGTTAATCTAAAACTACCTAGTAACACTTATAGTGGACTATGTAAACTGTCTATTGCAACTGTGAAGATTTATATTTTGTGTTTTATTATATGCTGAGGTAATTTCTGTTTTTATACCTGATAAAAAAAAAATAGTAAAATATAACGCTGGGCAATAAATTGGTGTAGTTTACTGTTTGTGTTCTCAATATTTTGAAAGAATAAGACTGATAATTACCAGAAGCTAGCAGAAACCACTGAGGCTTTGAAAGACCAGGAAGCAACATATCTTTGGAACAAGACTTTAAACTCACATCCGGGTTCCTTTCCTATACCTGTGCTGCTGCCAGTGATGAGCAAGGAAACAACTGTACGTTGACATTACTACCCTTGACTACAAGTAAAGGACCATTTTCCATGCCCTTAGGTGTACTGGGTACATAGGGCTAAACTTATTTATAGACCAATCGGCACTCAGTGAGTGGTGTGGTCAACATCACATCGACCGCTTTTACTTCCCAGGACTCTGATACCCATTATGGGTTGACTTGGGAGCCAGGGTAATTTTAAAGAAAATCTGGTTTGATGTAAATCTGGACCTACGATCTTCGGGCCTGCAGGTGAATGCGTCTTGACTACAAGTAGCAAATGAAATGCAGTGCAACAAAGCTAGCACACAAGTGGCAGATCTCCCTGAGAGATGCTTCAAAAAATCATTACAATGACAGACAAAGCTGTGACACTGAGAGTATGTTTCTTTTTCTTCTTTTTCTTTGATCACCAGCTGTAAGCTCAGCGGAAACTGTGGTTGTTCGACTTTGGCTTTGTGCCAGGGCCTGGGTTTTGCATGTGCATCAGTTTTACTGGCTTGTTTGTTGGTGGTGGGTTGCTTCTTGCCGCTCAAGCTACATAAAGGTAACTTGTTTGGACAATTTGGCCCTGAGCAGTTTATGTCTGTACTGTGCCATCCATTACATATCCCCAGGAAATCCATATGTAAGCATCATGCATGTGGACTTTTCTTACTTGGCCTATTTTGTGCCTGTGAGTGCTACGGAGCGCTGGATATTTTTATATTTACTAAAAATAGCACAGGGTTGGGGGAAAAACAGGGGTGAGGGATATTGTAAGACAATGGCTTTTTAAAATTCATTGTGACACCCTAATTCATATTTAGGGGACAGGGCATAAGTCGTCAGGCCCAAAGAATTATTTCCATTTAAGTCTTCACTTCGGGGTCACTTTGGGGGGTTGTCAGGTCTTTCTTCCAAAAGGTTAATCTTAGATGCATATAGAAAGTGTAAACTTACTGTTCCTTGTTATTTAATCAGATCAGGGTTCATATTATATTTGGCAAACAACTTGGTCTCTCATGTATCACGCAGGAAGATGTGATAGCACAGCTTGCCAAGCTAGTGGTCACTGGTTCAAATCCACACCCTATTTGCTAGGAAGTCCAGGCCTAAAGTCAGCTGAATATTCTCTGTAAGGATGCCACAAGCCAGCGATATAACATATTAGCTGTTCGTGGTTTCAATTTTATGTCCAGTAGTCTGTCACTAATCACGACAATGAGATGTCTATGTATGTACTAAGTTGTACCTCATCAGGACACAAAGCGATAGTCACCCGGTGATACAAAGTGCCACCACACAGATGAAATGAATTGTCTAAGAAGGCATGCAGGAGTGACTATAAGGGATCAAATCAGCAATGAGGTCATAAGAGAACAAAACTGGCACAGAACCAACTCTAAATTATAAACAAAGACAAAATATCACATCGTCTGTCCACATAGAGAAAATGCTCTGTGATAACATACAAGCCATACATGAAAAGAACAGAAGGACACATAGCACAAGGTAGATCAAGAACAAAATGGAAAGATAACATCAGAGAAACTCTACAACAGCACTATGATGTGTCTATAGTCGAGGCAGCCAGAAGAGCAAGAAGCATAACTTTATATCTTCCTTGACCCCTGAAAAGGGAAACTAGGAAGGGGAGAGGAAGGTCTGTCACTTCTTTGTAAATGGACCATGCTCATTCTGTTGCTGAAATCCAAGCAAAGAGATCTGCTGCCAAATTGCCTGCAGCTGAACCTGGAAGTCAGAATTATAAAACTATGTTTATAACCCCTGAGGCACAGAAACTGACCAAGGCTTTAAAGTATGTTTTAGGAAATATCTTGGGTAGCAAGGGCAGCTGGCATAATGCTGACCACTCACACTCAAATGTTGAATGGTCTATAATAAATACTGTATTAGCACCATATGTTCTATTATTTTACAACAGTTGGTAAATTTATATTTTAAAAACAACAACAAGCATACCTGAAATTCTCTCTGCTGCCCACAATGTCCTGGCTGACTCAACAACCCAAGCCTCTGTACCGTCTGCTATGAGAAAACTGTTGTGAAAGCACCAGCCTTCTTTGTCAGACTCATCTGTACAAGGTCCTCCCTGGCCAGGGCTCTCTAGCAGGGATGAAATCACATCGACTGCTTCACGGGCTGTTGATGCCCGCTCTAGACTAAGTCTGGGAACACATGAGAAACAAGTGTGCAAACATTACAACTGTCATAGTAGAGCACGCCTCAACAACTAACATGCCACTTCAAGTTTACAAACAAATGAGCACAGTGAACATAACAAGGTGCTTGCAAAGCTGCAGGGGTTGACTACACTACAGAAGATAGGAGACGTCTCAGAGGTTAATATGGTGCCATTTAGTAGAAGTAAACTCTGGTAGTTACAAACTTCAAGTAAATGTCACCTATGAGCCACACAACTTTTTTAAATAGGCGACCCAGCCACAGCTGCCACCATTAAAACTACATTTAACGACATGGACGTTTGTGAATGTTGCACTCACAATGAAGATGACCATACAAAGAACTCTGCACATGTGAAGGCGCCAAATAACACAACATGGCCATTCAAAGCATAAGCATGAGAGCATCCAGAGAAATACTTTATAGAATGTGCTTGCTAGGGAAGCAGACATAGCTGTTCTGCTATCAAAATACTCATGCATTCATAACATAGCCTGCAGTGCACACAAATAGGCCAGTGCTCAACCTACATCCTGGTCATTTACAGACAAGGAACAACTTCCAAGTAATACATACTTCAACCCTGCCATCTTAAGAAAACCTACTTATGGAAATAAGCATTTGAACTTGATACTGACCTCAAACTACAAAACATCAGACATCTTAATGGCACCACAGTTAAAAGCCAGACCACAGAAAGCTACTGATCACAGTACTAGTCAGTGATAGGAATGCAAACATTCTTCACAAATGTTCCAACAAAAGAGAACTTAAGTTTCAGACTTGGTCGAAGGTTAACTAGTGTGACAGGACTTCAGACTTCACACCCAGTTAGACACTCAGTTCACTTTTATGTTAGGGGTTTCACAAGGTCCACTCTGACTCTTGCATCACATACATTTCATTGAGCTTAGGTGGAAAAGCCCCTTGACTGAGTTTACTCATGCATACAGACAAATTTATTGAACAAATATCTACTCCATTAAATACAGAATTGACATAAAACACTGTGAAACATCATCATCCTCTCATCTATCCCGACTTTGGTTAATATAACATGTGAAACATCACTATCATCTTCTCATCTATTGCAGCTTTGGTTAATATAACATCTGAAACACCACTATCATCCTCTCATCTATCCTGACTTTGGTTAATATAACATATGAAACATCACTATCATCCTCTCATCTATCCCCACTTTGGTTAATATAACATGTGAAACATCATCATCATCCTCTCATCTATCTCGAATTTTTTTAATATAACATGTGAAACATCATCATCATCCTCTCATCTATCCCGACTTTGGTTAATATAACATATGAAACATCACTATCATCCTCTCATCTATCCTGACTTTGGTTAATATAACATGTGAAACATCATCATCATCCTCTCATCTATCCCGTCTTTAGTTAATATAACATGTGAAACATCACTATCATCCTCTCATTCGTACCGACTTTGGTTAATATAACATGTGAAACATCACTATCATCCTCTCATCTATCCCGACTTTGGTTAATATAACATGTGAAACATCATCATCATCCTCTCAACTATCCCGACTTTGGTTAATATAACATGTGAAACATCATCATCATCCTCTCATCTATCCCGACTTTGGTTAACATAACATGTGAAACATCACTATCATCCTCTCATCTATCCCCACTTTGGTTAATATAACATGTGAAACATCATCATCATCCTCTCAACTATCCCGACTTTGGTTAATATAACATGTGAAACATCATCATCATCCTCTCATCTATCCCGACTTTGGTTAACATAACATGTGAAACATTATCATCATCCTCTCATCTATCCCCACTTTGGTTAATATAATATGTGAAACATCACTATCATCCTTTCATCTATCCTGACTTTGGTTAATATAACATGTGAAACATCACTATCATCCTCTCATCTATCCTGACTTTGGTTAATATAACATGTGAAACATTATCATCATCCTCTCATTTATCCTGACTTTGGTTAACATAACATGTGAAACATCACTATCATCCTCTCATCTATCCTGACTTTGGTTAATATAACATGTGAAACATTATCATCATCCTCTCATTTATCCTGACTTTGGTTAATATAACATGTGAAACATCACTATCATCCTCTCATCTATCCTGACTTTGGTTAATATAACATGTGAAACATCACTATCATCCTCTCATCTATCCTGACTTTGGTTAATATAACATGTGAAACATTATCATCATCCTCTCATTTATCCTGACTTTGGTTAATATAACATGTGAAACATCACTATCATCCTCTCATCTATCCTGACTTTGGTTAATATAACATGTGAAACATCACTATCATCCTCTCATCTATCCTGACTTTGGTTAATATAACATGTGAAACATCATCATCATCCTCTCATCTATCCCCACTTTGGTTAATATAACATGTGAAACATTATCATCATCCTCTCATTTATCCTGACTTTGGGGAGTCTCTGTGGTGGAGCGGTTACATCATTTGCCTATCATTCTGAAGACTGGGTTTGATTTCAAACTAAGTTGTTTAAGTCATGAAAGAAAATGTGTCCAGATAACCTAGGGTCATCACTGAAGCAATAAGTTCTGTGTTCTCAAACTGTTAGCACTGAATCTGCTGCAATCAGTTCAGATGAGCTTAGAGGTAGCAGAAACATAGGCTCATAGAGAGGACTAACTGCCTGAAGGGAGAAAAGGCAAGTAGTCTGGCCCTGTTGTTTAGACATGTGATAAGAAATGAGACACTAGAGAATAGAAGATGGTAACACCTGGAAAGATGTGTGGTTAGAATAACTAAAGCAGACTAAGCATTGTGATTGCTCTAAGATATGAAAGAATATTATCGTCAGAGATGATACATAGCAATAAGGATAAATATCTGAGGTGAGATAAGAATGTCTACTGTTTTGCAAGACAAGTAATAATGATGATAATAATGACCACACAACTGTTCTTCTGACATACCTAACAATGTCAGTCCCAAGCAATTTCTTGTCCAAGTCCTGCTGTCCATTCAGCTTGGTCCAGACCGGTGCATTTCCAATGGCCACACCTTTTTCGTTGGCTCCCATCTCAGCACCCCACATCCAGGCAGGCTTGCTGAGTATCACAGCATGTGTGTGGGTCACCTGATCCACTTCAATGTAAGTGCACTGAAACAAGTTATGTGAACAACATGAGAAAAGGTTAATACCCTCCTTTTCATTGTACTGTTGTGCTATTTTAGGAGGTGCCTTTCTTAAGTAAGACAGTATAGAATTAAAAAAAAAAACCCATCCCATACAGAAATGATTTATTTCAGCCCAAAGTGAACACATAGTCACCATTGGTTGGGGTGACCAACAGTCAAGGTCATTAAAAAACAAAATCAGGCGTGATGCACTAAAGTTGGAACTGCCATTACCTAATTATCTGTTAAGGAGGAGTGGGGCTATTCTATTTTCCCCTAACCTATAAGAGCCCTAGAAACCAGACTGTGAAAAACAATAATAAAAAAAACACACAGGTCCTTCCTGTAAGATCAGGCACAGGCTGTCCATCATAAAGATAGACACAGGTTACTATAGATAACCAGCAAGAGTAGCTTTCTATCTAGTCACGATGGGAACAATGTTTTACTTAAATTTTAAAAAATATATAAAAAAATTGTTTAAATACTGCATGGCATTTCTTTATTAAATTTCCATCTTTGAAAAACAGTATTTCTGACTCTTTATCTTTTTGAAATCTGTTAACAATTATATGTTTATTATTTTAACATATAATTGGAGACATCTGTACTATTTTCAATGCTAACTAAGCACACATACATTACTATTAACTCATAAAATCTGTTTTCTATTATCATTAAACTCAGCTGCAGATTGCAGAGCTACTGAAACATGAGTAGTGATGATGCACTTGGACCAGGGCTCATTTTAGTCCAGACCTATCTACCCATCTTTGTGCTTATCCTAGGAACAAGTTCCCTACCAGGAGCATGGATAACACAGATAGCATCAACATTTCCTGTGAAGTCGAAGGCAGTCTGTCTAACAGGCAAGGAACCAAAAGTCTGCACACAAGCAAGACAGATATAACGGATCTGCACACAACACTCAAGTCATGCAACAAGTCTAAAGTCCAGAAGTGGACAAACAACCAGGACTTTCCACCAGAGATTACAGCTGATGAATGTTAAGAAAAAGAAACTCAGTTCTTCTACATTACCTTAACCTTGTCTCCATCTTCATGATCTTTGGCTGGCACGTATATGACATCTTGAACTTCAGATGCAGGTCGATTAGAATTCTTTCCAAACAAAACAGCACCATATGCTGTGACAGGTGGCAGTGCAACAAAAAGGTCAGCCATTGTACCTAAACAGATGGTATATAATGTCACACCAGGTTATCCAATCTAAAATTCTAGTCTGCAGTTTCTGAATGTGTCATTTATTTATGTTTGACCTGTGACAAGCTAGGCTTTCTTTTACAGAAAAAAGGTGCTAGTACTCAACACAAATTGTCCAAAAAGGTGCTAGTACTCATCACAAATTATCCAAAAAGGTGCTAGTACTCAACACAAATTGTCCAAAAAGGTGCTAGTACTCAACACAAATTGTCCAAAAAGGTGCTAGTACTCAACACAAATTGTCCAAAAAGGTGCTAGTACTCAACACAAATTGTCCAAAAGGTGGTACTCAACGCAAATTGTCCAAAAAGGTGCTAGTACTCAACACAAATTGTCCAAAAAGGTGCTAGTACTCAACACAAATTGTCCAAAAAGGTGCTAGTACTCAACACAAATTGTCCAAAAAGGTGCTAGTACTCAACACAAATTGTCCAAAAAGGTTGTGGTACTCACCCCTATTACAGAAGCACTGACAAAAATTAGGACCAAAAAAATTAATTAAACAAAGGTTCCGGTACTACGTACACTGGCCAGAAAAAAAGACCTGGCGACAAGGACATCTTTTCGTGCTATATGTGCATGGTGCAAGCCTACCCCATATTTTTTGAAGACAAAAAAGCACTGATAGTGATTTAGATAATATCAAATCAACCGCCTTTATTTCCCATGACATTTCTGGGTATCCAATTTAGCTGTGTCAAATGTAAGCCCAGATCAATTTTGAAAATCTGCTTCAATGCAGAACTAAACACTTGACCTTTAGGCCAACAGGCAAGATTAAGCTACTGCTTTTCAACAGCTGCCAGATTTTATAACATACTCATAAAATATCACATAACTATGGAAATGTCCCCTTGCCTTCCAGACCCACGTGATTGGTTTTGGGATTTTGGCCTTTCAAAGTAGCATTTGGTGTTACAACTTAGTGCCATGTTTTGTCCATTAGCAGTTGCCATTATGGCTTGAAACATTTCAGAAGTGCTGCCTCAAGAAACTATCTAGGCTGTACACAATGGGACACACTGGGGTGAAAGGAAATGAAAGAGCCAAAGGACTGGCTGGGTCTGTAGGAATTGATGGACGAAGAAATATGGAAAGGTCAGACATACTGAATCTGCTACATTTAAGAGATGTCTTAAAAAAATAAGCAAGAGATAATGAACCGTCTGTTGGCAATGGGTGTTAAAGAATGACAAGCATGCAGAAACTGGATGTGGGGCTGAGACTGGATGTGGGGCTGACTGGATGTGGGGCTGAGACTGGATGTGGGGCAGAAACTGGATGTAGGGCAGAGACTGGATGTGGGGCAGAGACTGGATGTGGGGCAGAGACTGGATGTGGGGCTGAGACTGGATGTGGGGCAGAGACTGGATGTGGGGCAATGACTGGATGTGGGGCTGAGACTGGATGTGGGGCTGACTGGATGTGGGGCAGAGACTGGATGTGGGGCAGAGACTGGATGTGGGGCAGAGACTGGATGTGAGGCAGAGACTGGATGTGGGGCAGAGACTGGATGTGGGGCAGAGACTGTATGTGGGGCTGACTGGATGTGGGGCAGAGACTGGATGTGGGGCAGAAAATGGATGTGGGGCAGAGAAAGGAGACATGCCAATCAACTACTACAAAGTATGGAGAGCACAGAGACACTAAGATGGCTGCCACACTGTAGTATAAAGTATGAATGAATTGGATTGATGTTCTAGAATGTCAATATGGAAAACAAGTAAGCAATCATTATCATATACTTTGAATGATGCCATACTATCGCTGTAGCTAGCATATTTGCCTGAAGCCTAATGGTTATATACGCAAATGCCTTACATATGGAATTTGTAAAAAAAAACTAGGCTTCCCTGGTTGTCAGGCTAAAATGGACAACCAGGAATGTTTCAGAAATAAATGAGGCCATTATATTACTGTATCCCCTCCTGATTCTCAACCGGGGAACAAGCATCACATACTCAGTATGCCTCAATACTAGTGGAATAATGTCCTTTCTACATCTACAACCTCTTCATAAGTCTGTTGACACATAAAAAATCTTCACAATTGCTCTACATTGCTTCTGGTTTCTTGACTCACTTCCTCTTTCATTTTACATTTCTTTCTTTTCTTTCTACGTGACGTATAGTGTACTAGTATTGTGTAGATAAAAGTAATTATTAGGCCAATATACGCAATAATTAAATCATGCAAAACACAACGATTATTAACAATTACTTAGGAACTAATTCCAAGGATGTTCATAAAAGTTAGGTAGTATAATATTAATAATAGGCTGCGAAATATGCGCCTTTGGCTTGTTCTTGTGGTTCACAGCTAGGCTGCGATAGCGGCGGCGAGATGCTCAATGATAATGTCACGGGTAGGTAAACTTCGTTCTTTTCGTTCGCCCTTGAAAGAATGGTTCTCACATTGTGTTGTGGTTTACAGCTAGGCTGCGATATCTTCTCCCTTTGCCCCAAAGCATCCGATTTCAGCAGTCCTAATTAGTAGCCTTTTACAACTGTTATGTGGCAGTGGATCTATTTTTTCTTTCCCCTAAAATATTTGGCCCTGGACCCCTGCAAGGGCAGTAATGGGTAATGTAAACAATGGATCAAAAATCATTCACGTCGCTTCAATGGATCGAACTCTATTCCTCCCCAAGACGCTTAAACAATGGATCTAAATCTATTCTTTTCCACGTCGCTTCAATGGATCGAAAACGATTCCTCCCCACGGCGCTTAACTTAACGTCTAAACATTGATATCCAGCGAGCAATAATGGCACAAGTGGAAACTGATCATGATGGCCTAAACGGTTTTACTACATAACCTCCTGAGGGATGTTTTTCGGCAGTGAATAATTTGGGACCGATATTCGGAAGAGTGCCTAATATGGTAGTATAACAGGAAACATCTTTAACTGTCCACATTTTAGCCTCACATTGATATCTTCATGGTGGATAAAAGAAGCTAGACATTAGGACAGCTGCATGTTTTAGCTGGACTAAACTTTCTAAATAAAATGTTAAGTTATTAATATAATTTTAATTTTATAATTAAAAATTGGCGAGACAATCTCGAGCTTATTACTTATTAAAACTGGACAACAGCGTTGTTTATTTACCTTCTTGGTTGTAAAACGACCTCTAATATTGCAGCACACAAGTTTCGTAGATTCTCTAACTGTATACTGCTCTAATTGTCACCAAAATGTTGAGAGGGGAAAAAAGAACTTTAAATAAAATCGATGTTTAACATGAGAGACCGTCGTCTGCAGCAATCACCTCATCTATTGATTGCTCCTAGGGGAGGCTACTCTTGTCTTGCAGGTCCCATAACCAGCATCTTCTTCTCAATCAATCAGTCAATCAATCAGCACGTCTTTTGCGGACCCTCGTTTTCATTGGGCACGCTTAAAAAATATATCTGTCTTTGGCCACTTCACGAGCCTGGTGTGTTTTCATAGCAAATGCATCTTCAAGGTCCTGCATCCACATTCGACTCGTTTTCCGAAAATGCACCCTCCATCGCCGTTCTCTGCAGACCTGTCCTTGAAATGTCCAAAAGGGGATAAGTGCTACTACATATCATTAACTTTCCTTCCTTTTTCTCTCTTTTTAAAATTAATATCATGAATAGGTCAAGTAGAAAGCGATTGATGTCACTTGTGGGACAGGATTCCCCCCCCCCCCCCCCTTAAAAAAAAAAAAGTAAATATCACAGTATGTGTACATAGTTTTATTTTAATACACGCAAGCAAACGTTTCTACCAAACTTTTTTTTCTTTTCTGAATTCAACTGCCAAAAATTGTAATCCCTAAAAAACATACAGATGACAGAAAATACTTTTTAAAAAAAATTAACTTTCCGTCCTTTTTAGATGCAATTTTTTTTTTTTTTTTGGGGCCAGTGGCCGCAATATAGCCTGGCCATAAATATGGCCTAAAGGCTGAACGCTGTTTCTTGGACATCTCCACGGTGATCCTCACCCACATGTTGGCACTTTGTGTCATCTGGTGTTTATCGCTTGTGTGATGTTCTGGTGGGGTAGAAAGTCAGTCAGTCAGAAATGTCCAAACTATTTAAAGATTTAGGAAAGAATGCTGTTTATGAGCCAGTTCTATGATGTTTAGGTCCTTCATGATGTCGATGTTTTTTTTTTTTTGGTTGTTTTTTTTTTTTTTTTTGTTCACGGTATTATAATATTTTTTCTATAGTATTTTAGTTTAAAGAACCGAATTTGAATTGTAGCCCTCGGGACATCCCCAAAAGCGTTACTGTATGTGATCACTACTTCCCGTCTTTTTAGGATGAAATTTTTCGTTATTTGAAGCTCTACTCTGGCTCTTGCCAGGGGCCGCAATATAACCAGGCCATAAATATGGCCTATTGGCTTAACGCGGTTTCTGGGACCTCTCCACGGTGATCCTCATCCACATGGTGGCACATTGTGTCATCGGGTATTTATCGCTTGTGTGATGTCCTGGTGGGGTTACTACTACTACTTCCGCAGTCAACGTAGTGTTGCAACACCAATGATGCTAGCAGCAGTCTGATTATATGTCCGTTTTGCCTTACTTCTAAGCGTCGATTATCAGCCAAATCCCCTCGTCACTGTTTGCTACATCACTCTCACTAGACTGTGAGTATCAATTGACTTTTCCAAATTATACTCGTGCTCCCATAAGGCCTCCACCTCTGATATAAAAGATACCTTTTAGTGAGCACCAGATACCTTTTTTCCCCAAGCATGAATTCCGTTCAGCGTGGGGGCCACGCGTCCACGAGAGAGTATTTTTCTTCCACATATCAACTATCATATTTTATTTACAAAAAATTGAGTTCATGAAGGCCTTTAGTAAAAGAAAACTAACTGGGCTTTCAGTAAATGTTATACAGATCATTCATACAATCATATCGACAATCATCCCCGTGTGCGTTCCGAGGCCCCATTTGGGGTTAAAGAACACACC